ATCTTAATATAATATACCCAAAGCCATATTTCATCTACTTAAGGAGAAGTATGAGATTGTAACAAGGGTGGCATGGTGTCTAGCTGCAGTCCAGATTACTGCTTTGCGCTTGCACATTCCAGCTGGCTCCACAAATGAATCCTTGGAGTCTTGCAGGCTAAGACGGTCAAGATTTGGATCCCTCAGCCCTGAACTCCACATCCCCGAAAATTAACCCTAATTAAGTCCTAAACCCTAAGCCCTACATCCGAAAGCTGTAAATACACGGCCCTAAGCCCTGGGCCGTACACCAGGACTGCTGGCAGCCCAAGCTCCCAAATGAGAATTACTAGAAAGTCAAAGGTTTAGGGCCTGGAAGGGCTTATAGTCCGCCTTAAGTAGATAGAATATCTCTTTGGGTATCTTATAATAGTATCCCCATATACCCCAGATTCTATCTACTTCAGGGGGGCTGTATGTATACTACCCCAATAATGCAGAATAAAATGGAAGCCCCACAAGTAGTCATCCCTATACTTAACCTTCTATATCCCTAGGTATCTCTACTTAAACCTCTTTTTGCCTGTCTCTCCAAAGACATCAGGTCCGAACACTTCGCCAAGCTCCTGAGCGGTTTAGGGTTTAGGGGGTAGGCTTTAGAGTGTTTAGGGGGTTCACAGGATTGACACGGGGTTTGGGACTCAGGGGTTCATAAGGTTTATAAGGGGTTTTGGGTTTTTGGGGTTCTTAGGGTTTATAAGGCTCATGCAAGGAGCTTACCTGCAACTCCAACTACATACAGTTTTATGGACTGTACCTACTAACTAGGGGGAATTGCTATGAAACTGTAGGAAGGTGGGGCCCTAAACCCTAAACCGGGAGTTTTCTAAGGTTGGGGTCCACTTGGAGGGTCATGGGGACTTAGCAAGTAGGCTAATAGCCCCTATAACCCATAAAGTAACCCTAAGTATCCCCACTATTATCCTACTTGCTAAGTCCCCCTGACCCTCCAAGCAGAGTTTCCAAAGCTGGGGGTCTCTTGTGGGGAGTCTTTTGCATGTTGAGTGTATAGCAGGGTGACATCTCACTCTCTCTCTCGCTCTCTCTCTTTCTCTCTCACACGGACTGGAGTCGATCATCCCTCACAGTACCCGGGAGATGCATTGAGGGGCTATGTACCGTACGCAGGAAGATCAGGGAATTACCATACTGCACATATTCAAAGACTGAGTTTACAGGAAAAGCAGGTCAGGGAATGATACCAGGACCTCAGATAAGGGAAATACCGACCCTTCATTCTTCGCAGGACCTCAGGGAGGAGGCCTGCACCCCCTTGACATCCCAGCACGGCGGCCTGTTGTTGCAAATCCTTCTCTGAGGCTCTTCTTCTCCTTTCTTAAGCTTCGCAGGAGCTCAAAATGGCCATAAGGCAGGTTCCCTTTTTGGTTAGGATCTCTCTTTAACGGATGTATTCCCTAATGGCCCGTTCTTTACAAGGACCTTTAGAACAACCCGCCAGATGTACCGCACAATATACTGCGTAGTGTAACCCTAAACCCTAAACCCTAAACCCACTAGTAGGACCTCAAGTCCTCCCTTTCGTGGTGGATCCTTCCGGGTGGTTGCAGGACGGAGCGAGGAAGTCTCTTGAGAAAGGCAAGTCAAGCTCAGAACCCCGCTTGTTTAGGGTTTAGGGTTTAGGGTTCAGCCCAATCAGGTGCACCCCACAGCCCTCTAAGCAAGTACCTGGGCACATGGTCCAAAAGAACCAGTAGATCCAACTCGTCCGCGATCACGACTGCTGTCTGAACGCAGCGGAGGTAGGGAGATGAGACAATGATTCCGAAGTCGCCGAACCTGGGTTAGGACTCGGATGAAAATGTTCAAGCAAGTACTCGCATCCTGTATGCACGGGGCAAGCGAGTACAACAAATGGTTTAGCTATAGGATTCATATGAAAGTGTTCCAGCAAGTACTTGCATCTTGTACGCATGGGTCCAGCAAGTACAACAACCACAAAGGCAGCAATGCTGACAGCATGACGGTTGAAGACCCTATGGCAGTGCGTTTAAACTGATAAAGCATGGCCCCCTTCGTATGCCACTACAGTTGGATCCTTGCTGTCCCTTCCACCGACCTAGGTTTTCGACAGAAGTTTGCAAAACTGCATCTTACATGTTACGCAATGCCACTGTAGCCTGACTTGAGAAAGGGACAGAAATCATGGAACGTTCAGAGCAAGAGGCAGTTTGGATGCAACATGGGTACACCGAGCGAATCAAATCCTCTTGGCTCCACAGTCAAGGTACCAACGCCCAAACCACCAAATATCTACACTCACCACCGAAAAATTGCTGGGGAATCCTATTTACCCCCACCAAAGCCCATAATCGAATCCTATTCCATGCCGCACGACCTGGCGACAGCCTAGTAAGCAGCCCCTGTTCTACCCAATAAGGAAGAAAGATAGCCCCTCTTACGTAGATAGAATATGGGGTCATATTAGGGCTATATTGGGCTTCTATGGGTATAACGGAAAAGAAAATGGAAACTACTATAATGGGTTCTATAGGGTATAGAATATGGGGTATATGGGGACCTTACTATGGCAAAAAGTTTTCCGGAACAATGAGTCCCTTCTCAGCATGGATGCAACTACTTCTGGGAATCTAAGCGCGACCCATGTGGATGGTTGTCAAAATTATGGTCCCTTTTTGGGTACCCTAAATATTAGGTGCCGTACTATAATAGGGACCCAAAAAGGGCATATAATTTTGACAACCACCCATGTTTTGAAGACATGGCTTGTAATCTGAAGCCACCAAGATCCGCCAAGTCGCTCCCTCAGGGCTTCGGCAACCTCCCTGGCTTCAAGGACACCTGGTAGTTTCCTAAAATGAGGGGACCCCAATGTAGACCCCAAGATACTATAATCCTTATTATGGGGACCCCAATAAGGTACCCCCAATTTTGGGAAACCCCCAACTGGTTGCTGAGTCTCTGCTCTTCCAAGAAATGGGTGTGTTGCGAGATTTTGAAGATCTTTAGCCACTATCCTCGCCATGCCCAATCCCACAGAGTCCGGCACATCTCAAGTCACCGGTGGCTCCCCTGGATAAACCCTTCAGGAGCTTGTGAAATCACCTCAAGAAAAAATTAGGATGCCAGAAGCGTCCAGACTTCTTGCCTTTAGGAGGAGGAGCATTGTCTAACAATCAGGGAGCTACCTTGGAGATACTCTGCACCTCTTTTTGGGGTCTTCTTTGTGAACGGGCATCCTGATGAGACCATGGGGGCGTAGTGGGAAGACGGCTGAACAAAGGGAGAGCGGCCGTCATCGGTGATTGGGCAGTCTCCAGGATGTTTGTCTGCATCTTCTGTCATGTGCCACCCGGCATCAAAGACCTTGGATTCTACAACTTCTGCTCGTGGCGTTTCGGGCTACGCAACAACAAGCTTACATGGATGGTCAGGCAGGCAGAGTAAGTTAATGGCGGTAATGAGAGTTACTATACGTAGGTTGTATAGGGGTTATAAACCTACGTACTACGTCCTCCAAGTAGGGCTCGTTGTAAACAAATCCACGCCTAACCTAAACGACGGCGGAATGAAGCGAGCTCAGGGCTTGGAGCCCTATGCACAGTACGCAACCGCTATACTCTGGAGAAAAGCATGGCAAGCCATCACAGAAACAGGCCTCATCGAAAATCTAGGTAACAGCATGGTTGAGGCGTGGTTTTGTGCGGAAACCAGTTCTGACACGTCAGAACCCCTATCTCAAAAGAACATATGTTTTAAACAGTTACCTCTGAAGGGCCCCTTTCTCGAGACCCCGTACAGTGGCCATCCTTCCAGAGTCGCATACTGTAACCAAATGAAGGGACCAACGCGGTTTAGGGGCTCGAAGGCGGAAATGCAGAGGTATCCTCTGGAAGGAGTCTTACTCCTACCTTCTTCGCTGCAAATTTTGCTAAACCTGACGGGATCTGGCACGCCGCAGCAACCCAGCAACCCCTTCGTAAGGAGTACGAGCACCTTTAATTAAAAGCACGAAGGGTCTTGCCATGACTTGGAAAGGGGGGGGTGTAGCTGTGGTATGCCACCATTATAGTACCGATACTTACTCTCCCATGCCCAAACATCCAACCCTAGACATAATTTTCATGTTCCTTTCCACCCCCCCTGCACCAGTCACTAAGCAAGCTCTAATTCCTATATCGCAGCTTACATCTATGAATACATCTTTATAGCTGATTCCGAATTAATGCTGAATTCCGATAAGCGCGGCCAGATCAAGTGAAGGTTTTAACAACATTTGCAGTACGCCAGATTCCTTCTGGGGGCTCTCAACGCAGTAGTGTTTTCTCTCGAGGCCCGAAAGCTGTTGGCTGTGAAGGCTTCTAATATGAACTATAGTCTAAACTCCTAGTATGCCCCTTAAAAACCCCTACAGTAGTCCCTAGATAATCCCCTGTACCCTATGGAGTTTAGACTATAGCTCATATAAAGGCCCGCCTCTATCACCGACTTTGGAATGAAGCCCTGTCTTATCAAATCGTGTGTTCGACCAGGCCGGGCAAGTAGATCAAAGAGGATAAAGTTAGCAGGACTCATGAACCTCGACAATAAATTCAGCGGGCTATTCACGGCCAAGAAACCAGCAGTTTGAAAAGCCAAGTCTTTAGATATATGAGGGCTGAGATCTATTTGCGAGGACTCCGCCCTTCGCATTCTCCACGGTACGAAGCTAAACTGAACTACTCCCTTCCCGTCCTGCTCCTCATGGATTTGTTAATTTGCCTTTAGTTTTACGCGGGAGCCAAAGGATCCCTCGTCCATATTATTGGAGCAACAGGATCCCTTAGAAGTGATGATGAAGAGTCCAGTTTTTGTTTGGGGGCGCCGCACTAGTTCGTCAGGATCCAACATTATGCTACACATCTACCCTAAACCGTAACCAAAACAGTGGTTTCCGATTATACACTACCCTTTAGGCACCAGTCTAGTTTTGTCCAGGCAGCAGCATCCTGGCGTTCTGCGTGCCGTAAGACGGCTACCGAGGCCTGGGGGCAGTCGGCCGTCTCCTCTGCTCCTGGCAGTGAGGGTGCTTCGTAAGTTTGAGAACAGGGACTAGCTTAGTCAGTCAGAGTTTCAGCACGGGTCTAGGGGACAGAACCCCTAAGAATGACCCTTAGACAGGAGGGAATTGTAAGGGAACCCAAGGGTTTCGTAGCGGGTCTGTGCTATTTCGGGCCCCTTGGGGAAGCAGCTGAATTTGAATATTTAAGGGTTTTGGGATTTCGTTAAGATGCAGGGTTCTAGGATTCAAGGTCTTTGGAGGTTTAGGGGCTCAGGGTGGAGAATTTAGGTTACCTCCTTCCTAGCTTTGGGAGATTCGGGCTCTGGTTCCTTTGAGGGTTTAGGGCCCTTTAGGTGGCCGAGGGCTTAGGGATTCAATCAGGCTTGGATTTGCAAGATTCTGGGTTCAGACTTTAGGGTGCGTATGAGCTTGAAAGTTACCACTCGTTTGATTTGGCGTGTCTTCTGGGTTTCTTAGCCTTAGCACAAAGGCCTACAGAAGCAAGAGAGGGTTGTTGTGCAATACCTGCGAGGGGTTGAACTTTTCAAGGTATGCTGGTATGCTCATAATAAGGACCAGCAAAAGGTCTGAATCAAGCGTGAATAAAGGACACTTCTCTACCACATTCCAAACCGACCGCACTCCCGCTCTTAACTCCTTTCTCCTCCTGCCCGGTGCCAACTACGTGAACGAGGATCGTTGCTGCACTCAAGAAACGTACTCTTCTCATTCACATAGGGGTGACATCGACTTCATCATGGCTACAGCAAGAACTTGGCATGCATGTTTTTCGTGACATGAGCACAACTGCCTGTGGTTTTGGTCTGCGACTCCACTTGTTCCATCGCCTTTTGTAACCCAGGACTGAGGTCCGGGCCTGTTTGCAAGAAGCTGATGCAAGCAACTAAAAGATTACAAGCTCCCAAGCTATCCATAAGAGCGCAAGCAAATCTTTAAAAAGAAGCATGCATAAGCCTAACCCCAAATCCTAAACCCAATTGCAGCTTCAGGGACTCTGTCCTTGCTGTACAAGCTCAGCGCCAGAAGCACCTCCTGATCCTGCGGGTCGCTTGGACTTTGGTTTGCTGTTGTTTAGGAAGCTATCCCCACATCTCCATGCATGCAAGAACACGTGGGTAGTTCCCAAAAGTAGGGTCGCATTTTGGTCGCCGAAAAATATTTGGTGCCGCAAAAAGATCTGTACCCAAGAGGTGCCCATAATTGTGAGAACAACGCACATGGTAATTTCCCAAAACAAGGGGATCCCAACAACCCCAAAAGGTACCCACGTGCTGCGAGTTTCAGGAACCATGCCTGTTTTGGCCAGAATATGCTAAGGAATATTATGTTGGCAGAATTCATGTAAAACTGGAGAATCAAAGGACAGTGACATGGAAACAGGGGTTACATAGGGTTTATAGGGATGATTACCTGGCTGCGAAAAAACCATGAAACTTGAAACCTTGAAATATGGCTTGTCACATGCGATGTTGGTCACTTGCTGCTTCTGAAACTAAGTCTCTGCATGGGGACCTTTATTCTACTGGACAGAGGACACCTCCCGCCGCCACCTACTAGCTTCAACCCACTCCCCCAGAACCAAGGAAAGGTGCCATATAGTCCCCCTTGAGTAGGGGAAATATGGGTTTTTTGGGAGGATCTTATTCTAATATACCCAAACCCGTATTCCATCTACTTAAGGGGGACTATACATCTAAAGGAACACAAGGAGAAGCCATCAGGTGGGGTGACTCCCTGGCTGCTATAGGGTTTAGGGTTTAGGGTTTAGGGTCTCGGACCCTCCCACACCTACCCCAAAATAGGCCCTGAGGGTCCAAGTACCCCTTAAGTGATGAGATTCTGGTAATAGTACATGTAGCGTAGGTTTGGGATATATATATATATATATGAGGTAGCGGGTACTCGGACCTGTTAGGAGGTTAATGAAATCAAGGGATCCAAGTACACAAATAATGCCTAAATCCTGCCTGAATTGGACTATTTGGATTCAACCGCAAACCCCAAAACTCTTACAACCCAAAACCTCAAGCCCTACACCGTTTTAACGCTAAACCCTTACCTACGTTGGGCTACATGGATCCCTAGGGGAAGCACTATCTGCCTGAGATGTCTGCAGCTGAAGTTGCGGGGCTGTGACTGGGATCCTGCACTGCGTCCGGTAGTGGGTTTGGGGGTTGATGGGTTAAGGGTTAAGGGTTAGGGTTTAGTGGTATTAAGGGTTTAAGGTGTAGAGTTTTTAGGGGTTAGGATGGTTTAGGGGTTTAAGATGTTGGGTTTGGTGACTGTTTTGAGCTTCGAGATCTCTCAATGTAGGGTTCTCTGTTACGCGGTCGCAGGGGTTGTAGCTGCTTGAGGAAGGTTCACGCAATGGGCGCTTCTGGGGATTGGGACTGTTTGGGATTTTCCCGAGGAAGCAGAGGCCACCCTCAATATTTTTGGGGGTGAAGAGTGATCTCATTGCAGGCGGACTGCTTTTTGAAGCCTTCCCTGGGGACATATCTTGACCAGCTTCCTTCGAGCTCCAGATCGGGGCGCAGCTTGAAAACCTACTGAAACAGCCGCTTTCGGGATTCTAGGGTTTTGGGTTCTAGTGAGAAGCAACGTAGGGGCAAGAGTCTTGCCAAGTCACTGACCTGCCCTGGAATCCAAAGTACCCCCTAGCCAAGCTTTGCAGTGATCATCCTCGAGATGGGCTACGAATAGCGCACAAAAAGCGCAAAGCTGGGAAGTGAAATTCAATCCCCAAAATGCTGCAAACCCTCATATTGCCCACATCGACCATATTGCAGCTGCTGAAGGAGATCTGAAGGTTGCAGGTTCCAGGCAACCCTCAACCCTAAACCTTAAACTCTTAGCCTTAAACGCGCCCCCTAACTAAAACGCCCACAACAAACCCAAAAGGTATTAGAGCCTTCAGATAGGGCTCAGAGCTTGAGGCGTTTGCTTGATACGCGAACCCCCAAATTATGCAGAACAATAGCCCAAATATGTTTGGGGGAGAGTAAGGGTTGAGGGCTTAGGTTTAGAGAAGGTCTGCTGCGCTATCACTTAGCAGCCCCGACGACAGCTGCAGGATATCGTTTGGGCTTGTGGTGTCAGCCATAAAATGATGAAGGCTTCCCTGTTCAGACTTCAGGTATCACCTGATGCCCACAAAGATGAAGATGCCGACCTTCAGGCTAGATAAGCCCAGGGATTCAAATGTCGCAGACTTTAAGGCCTAATGTAAGTGTAGGTATATACTTGGATGCCTAGGGAAATTACAAGAATTCCAACACCTCAAATATGGCAACATTGGGACCATGATCAAAAAAGAACCGCCTTTTGAGGTGATGTCGTGCCAGTTTGGTTTTATTTGGCTAAGCATACATGTGGCCTAAGACATGTACGAAGTTTCAAGAGAGAATCCCACAAACACAAGATCCTAGGTACGTTAGTGATCTGGTTATGAGGCATACCCAAGCGGCATCTTCCCCGTGCTCAGAGATGGGCAGCGGAATTCGGAGCTCCTCCTTGGCTTCTTCTCGACCTACTGTTGGTTTATAGGGCATGACGGAATGAACAGGACAAATTAGGATATATATTCTGTGTAATTTATATATACATACTACGGGGACTACTTTTTAAAGGGATTCCTTCATTCCCTACTAGCCACGAGTACGTAATTAGCACGGGGCTAAACTGATGTGCAAGCGGGCTTATGGCTCTGACTGTTACAGCTTTTTTGTACCATGCCGCGGGGCAATTGCAAGAACAGCATGCAGAAGCTTGCGGAAACCACATGCTTCAGAACGATGACTTGTGGAGTTCAGGGGTTTGAGGTGCCGTGGGCTGACGCGGTTAGCCCGTGTTGCAAAAGTGCCCCAACCTTCAGGGGAAACACCCAAAGAAGAAACCGTGTTACTTCGACACTGTAGGGCTTCGGGGGGGCGCCGAGGATCCTAAACCCTAAACCATAAACCCTAAACCCAGATTCTTGGTCAGGTAGTTCTAGCCTAACGGCAAACCTGAGAGAAAATACGGGAAGAAACATTCTGTGCGTGTGAGTAGCAGTGCAAGTCTGGTCCTGTATGGTCCTCAGGCGTGGCTCAATATGGGGAGTTTCCCAAAATTAA